TCTTTTTCCGAAACAGCATTACTTTTTGTTTAACTTCGGTCAGAATTTTGGTATAAAAACATCTACACTGATGCAAAATATGTGTTGGCCATTCTGCTTCATCCATTGAACATATGCATGTAATCATAAATTGAAAAATCGAGAAATGTTGGGTTCTTTCTTGAATGAAAGAATCCCAATCCCAAAATAAATACGTAAGACAAATTCAAATGCTTGTATATCTAAACTGATACTTGATTGTTCAATGTCTCTTTTAATACGTGAAAATGGTTTCGATACATATTCATTAATTCGTTACATGTACATCCAAATTCATGAGGTAAAAGATTTTGAGTCTTCTTTGAACCATATATGTAAATACTAGTTGCAGAAATATATATTATTTACATCTTTTAATCCAATCTATTGATAACATTTACCTTTAATAACTATATCTTATATTATGCATTTTATAGTTTATCTTAACTAACATACCCAGTCTTAATGAGATAATTAACTTACCTTTTACAGTCTTAAATGTGTACATCAGAACTATGATGCTAGTAAAAGGATCCTTTTGAATTGAAACACCTTCAACGTCCTGTTTAAGATGTTATATGTATATGTACCAGTACCAATGGTACGTCCGTGTTGTGTGATAGATGTATTGTTTTTCAATCATTACACAAGAAAAATGTCTTCACAGGTAAATTGATACAGGAGTCACAGGGTATCTGTTTTTTCGCAATAAACTTACATCTAAATGTATCCTAATACAAGTACAGATTGCTTCCAAATCAATCACTACTACGCTGTATTTAAAAACAAAGCTACATTTACAAGAATTAAATAAAAAATGCACTTGTTGTCCATGTTAACTATAATAAATTTAATGTATTTTTTGTGTTGCCCTCTTTCTCTCATCAAAACAAATAAATCAAAGAAATGAACAAACGCTAACTAACACAATGCAAATGAATTTGTTATTAATGCCTATGCAATCGTGAAAAAAAATTGTAATTATGCGGGGGCGAAAGGGAAATCGGTACCTAGCATACTTACGTTGCTACTTCTCCGTTTAAAAGCTTGTATCTCCATATTGTAAATGTTGTCTTTCTATGGATGGATCATTTGTTAGGTTTTGTCGTATTATTTACACTTCATTTTATTTTATTGTTTGGTAAATGACATTTTAATAGATAGATAGATATATACTTTATTCTCTAAAAACTAAATACAAGTTTACAGAGAAAGTACAATATATATACAAATACAATAGTTGAGAATAAACAGATGCAGTACGATAATGTAAAATGAAGTACAACGTTCATTATTATGACATACATGTATAATAAACGGTTAAACTAAATATGAAGAAATCAGTCTGGTGTTTAACGTTTACATGGAGGGACTAACCTTTTTATTAATACACTTAATGAGTGAACACAGTTTTCATAAAACTGATTGGTTTTTTTAGGATTAAACAGTGAGAAAATTGACATTATAATAAATTATAATAAATATTAACAATTATAATAAATGCCTAATATGCAATCATGACTTAAAATCGTGATAATGCAGGGGCGAAAGATAATGTACCCATTTTACTTAAGTTGTTACAGAACTATTTTTCTGGTCTTGTCTGTTTTTTTTAATCTTTTTTTTGTGGGATAATTAAAGAGTAAAAATAGAAATTTGGTGTCTATATAAGAACGAAATAATGAAATAATTCTTCTGATTTTTCCTCTTCCATTTCAATTTGTTTTAGTTCGCTGTCATTTTCTTCAGATGACAGCGAACTAAAACAAAAGCGTAAAAGGTTATTCATGTCGGACTGAATATCTTTTTTTTTAATGTACAGTAATTGTAGAGTTTAGTCCTTTTCCTTTTTATTGATTTTTATTGTATTTTTGTATACCTTTCTTTTATTATTCAACTGGCTGAGATTTATATTGGACAGCAGTATTTTACCGAGTCCCAAACCTCATAAATTGGTTAAAAAGATACAAATCGGGGTCCCGAACACTGAGGAAATCGCACGAACCCCAAAAAGGAGTGCTATTGTTTGCGTCGACAGGAAAAGCGTCTATTATAGCTGCTATGCATGCACATCCATAATAAATAGGAAATGACTGAGTTTTCTAAAAAAAAAAACCATTGTGTAGTCATACGACGCGATAACGTGTGTTACATGTAGAAACTCATCATCGGAAGTGTGTATGGTTATACTTCAAATGGGATTTTATTACTGGTGGCAGCTATTTGTCAATGTTAGATATATTCATAACTGTTACAGTTACTTTTTTAACACTTTCAACGGCTAAAAAGGATATTGACATGTATGTATGGTATACGTACGCGTTTTGTAGGTAAATTTTTAGTGTATTGGTTTATACTGCATAAGACTGTAATACATGTATTGTCATCATGTTATGTCGATCATTTGGTGTTTAATGGTTTGAGGTCCATCTGACGCTTCCCCGACATCTGCTTTAGTCGTACGTGTTGTTTTTATACTACCCTTATTTCAAGTAAATTTGTATATATGAAATACATTTTAACTTACTGAAATAATAATTATTTAATAAGAGGAATTCATCAATAAATATGTGACGGTGCAGTTAATGGATTTGAAAGTATATTTAATTTTGCTAATTTTTTTGTATTGTTTTTGGTTTTGTGTTAGTTTTTTGTTTTAGCATTTTTTGTTCCCATTCAAACGTCCACTGCTTTTTGGAATATCAATTAAAGTTTTAGAAAGTTCTTGAATTCATTATATTGGAACCATTGTTCTCTTCTTATGCAATGAAATCAATAAATTACAAAGTAATCTAATTCACTCATTCAAATTAATAGGTTTTATCATCGAATAAGATCTAGAAAACAACTAGTTGTGTAGAAGAATTTTATGGAATGATCTTACAATCTAGTAGTTGCTTTTAAGAATATTTTACATGATATACTGACAAACTTTACAAACGCAACACCATTTAACATGTTTAACAACAATTGTAAAAAAAAAATACGTCCGTCGTACATCGACCTGGTAAGTAGCATTCAATCATTGTGTTAATTGAGCAAGTCTGGTGAATACGTTGTGAAAGGAGCATGAAATTTGTGACGCGAAATTGTGGATAATTTTTGTTTTAATGATGACCGTGTTACATTCATTCATGACCTCGCTTTAATTAGTTTTTTTTTACCGCAATGCCAAGACTCAGTGACAACCGTAATCAAGCCAGCGGAATGTTACTGAAAGGGACGAGTAAGCGTGCTGTTGCAAGAAGTGTTGATGTAAGCAAGTCTGCAATACTCGTTTATTTAAACGTTACAGATTAGCAGAAACAGATCGCCCAATACTCGGCCCACCGCATGTAAACACGCGGCGCCATCGAAATGACATCAGGCTACGCCTTTGCGGCATCGATTCATGACCGCGACGCCAACCGCAATCCAGATAAGTGGACGCCATAGCAGAGAAATAAATGCTAGGATAGTGTCCCGTATACTGAAACGTCGTCACATTCACTGTAGGAGACATTATACGTCATAAACGAAATAGACTACAATTGGAAAATCAACAACTGTAACAGCGGACAAACCGGACCCGCCTGATGATTTCCGATAAATCATTGTATGATGTCAATTTTGCAGACGGCGAACAGCAGAAGAGAAAATGAACGCTATGTAGATAACTGTGTACTTGAACGAGACAGATCTAATGGTGGAGATGTAATTGCACAGTGCGCTATTAACACCCATTTTTGGATACGGTTGGTAATTAAAAGATAGACGCTACATTGACGACACGTTTCATCTAGTTGTCGTTACAGAGCTACAACATCATGGGCAAGTCAATCAATTGACATTCCAACATGATAATGCGCGTGCGCACACTTCTAGCTTAGTTCAAAATGTTCTGAATGTTAATGGAGTTGACGAGTATGAATGGCCTACCCTTTCTCATGGCTTTAATCCCAGTGACCATGTGTGGGATGAGTAGGGCTGACGCGTCTGTTCTCGTCCATATAGGTCCATTTCAACAGGAATGACAAATCATCCCCGCGCAGAACAGTCAGAAACCTTTGTCGATTAATGCAATTAAGATTAGAAGCTTTATAACGGAACAACGGTACCCATATACAGCCGACACTGAAGACCGAAAACCAGATAGAAATAAGATACGGAAAAATGCGTCATTAGTTTCTTGATTGTGTAACGTTGAAAGAAAGTTTAAGTAATATAACGAACCATGAATTGATGTTATAGATTATTTATTAAAATCTGATTCAATAACTGCAAATTTCTTTTAGTCTTGCATTTCTATAGCCCCCCTCAGTATATTTCATTTTCGGTCATTGTACATTCACTATACATGTATGCGGGAGGGGAAGGTATTATTATATCAAAGATCTTTATCTTAATCCTAATTTGCAATGCGGTATGGGGTTTGCTCATTGTAAATGGTCGAACGTGATCTGTATTAGCTTATTTCTACGTCATTTGGTGTCAGCTGGATAGCTTCTCATTGTCAATCATACTTTCATATCGTGTCCTTTTCAGTGTTCACTACATAAACAGTTTTTTTTTCGTTTATTGTTCCGTTGTACCTTACATTGCTACTGGATCCCTGCTAGTAATTAATTCTGAATTTGGGTCATGTGCATTATGTATTAGGTGGCATGTACAAGCAATATCCGGTGTGCGGTAATATAAAGTGATCCTGAACTTGCAGTGAGGGTTTTGCTCACTGTTGAAGGCCGTATGATATTTTATAGTTAGTAGCATCTACGTCATTTGGATTCATTAGTCGAAAACGAACTGATAATATTATAGAAAAATATACGAAGAACTAACAAAAGACAAACAACAGTCTGCAAAACACAATATAGAAAGCTAGAGACTGAACAGCACGTACATGTACCTCAACATATACCGGTAATGAAAGGAAACATTTTTTGTCTTTTAGGTTTACTTTTCTATTCTACCAACCAGCGTTATATTCGTGAAATAACAAAATGTTTTAACCGTTTGTATGAAATTTAATTTTCAGACTCAAAATCAGAAGAAATGTCTTGACCATCCTTTTATTATTTCGTCATCTGGGCAACATGTTGCAGAGAATGTCTCCGTCTTGTAAGCATCATCGACATACTGTTTTAACGCAGTCATTTCATCTGGAATTTTGATACCCGCATAGTGGTCTGCTGCAACTATGACGTGTCGAAGACGGGGCAAAAACATACAATCAATCTCATTCATTTCTTCTCCAATGAGAAATTTGCCTTTATGAGAATCACTTTTGAGATATTCATTCACTTTTGATAATTCCGAAATTAATTCAGTTTTCAAGGAATCGTTTTTTTCTTGATCTTCATTTTTCAGTAATGATGCTAACTTTGGAAAAACTCCGGAACATACATCAAGCGCGGGTCCTGTATAACCTACTTTGCAATCACATTCAGGAAATTCATTATCTAAATATCTGGTAATATCTGCTGAATCGGCAATAACTTTATTTTCATTTTTAATGTCGACAAGCACAGGAACTGTTCCACCAGGATTAAGACGTATGAATTCGTCTGATTTATTTGCAATATCAACTGTCGTTATGTCTATTTTATCTGATGGCACTTTCAATTTGCAAAACATCAGAACTCTCTGGGAGAAAGGACAATCGCCAATGTCCTTGCCATTACTCGCTGCTTTAACATATAACAGAAACCTCCTAGTACTCATGGTTATATAAAGCCTGTTGGAGAGAAAGAAAACAAAATTGATAAATATTATCCAGCATTTTCTTATATATTTATCAGAGTTGGACCACTAGTACATTGTATTTTTAAAGTAAACTCTAAGCCGTGTCAACCCTAAAAACCTAATGCTGAACGCTACATCATATTAACACAAATAAAGACGGTTGGGTGGGGATTGGTAAAGATCTTGTTGTAAAGCCAATCACGGATTTATCATTTTCTGTAAAATATTGTCCGGTGTGTATTGTAAAAACATATATCAAAAGAGAGGCGAAAATACCAAATAGATATTCAAACTCACAAGTCAAAAACGACCTGACCGCTTCTTTTTTTTTTTTGTTAGATGTTTTTTCTGCTTTGTATCGATCTGATGAGTTCAGCCCTTTTCAACTGATTTTTATAGTTAATTTGTTCTTATGTTATAATGACATTACATCATTGGCCCATGTCCCAGGTTTCTGGGTGTTTGGGATGCAGTTGGCGTCTTCAAAAAAGTAAGTGAGTGGTTTTCGTTTTGTGCGTTTTTCATATTTGTTTTTCGTTTATTGTTTTGCATAGTTTTTTCTTGTATTGTGCAGTTACACCACTATCCAAGGTTTGGTAGGGTTGGTGCCTTCAAACATGATTACCCCGCCACAATGTAAATGTGCCTGACGCAAGTCAGGAGCCTGAAGTTAAATAGGTTCGTGTCTGTCATAAATTGTTTTGTTATAGATGAGCTGTTAGTTTTCTAAATTGAATTGTCTCATATTTTTCATGTCGAAGCATTTTATAGCCGACTAAACGGTATGGGTTTTTCTTATTGTTGAAGGCCATAGGCGGTAATTTCTTTCATCCACTTCATTTGAAATGTGGTTTATAGTTGTCTCATTGCTAATTATACCACATCCCCTTATTTGTTTTAATAACAATGCGATGTAAAATAAAAACGAAAAACGACCAAAAGATAAAACCATTACACAAGACACAGCATAAGGAAACTTAAAGTATTTTCCGAATGGACAACGGATTTAAATGGGTAAGGTCCATCAGAATTAAGAACACAAGAAAGGTGATTACTACTCTCAGATATAAGCATGGTAGAGTAATTATGGAATGCAAATCGGCATTCAATGGACGGCTTATAAAAAGAGATGTAAGTATTGCATATACTGTGAAGGGGTTAGATCGAATGGGTGTAACTAATTTACACCACTATATTATTGTCAATACAGAATGATAGTTTTCAATAATTAAGGAGGAGTTTATTTCATCGATTTGATCATATTTTATTGAAAAGCATGATAAATGCAGGATATCCGTTTCATTGAACAACATCTTTGTGAAAGTATGTTACAACAAATGCCGTTATAATCTATTTCCTTTTAAAGATGGTATTTAATTGTTATTGATAGTTCTTTGATTGTTAAACGTTTTAAAAGAAATCACATCTTTTATATAGACTCATAAGAAATAAGAGCCCTTGACACGTGACAAAGTGTTAAGACATTTACCATTTAGTCTATAGTATAAGGCCGTATCAAAGATGACCTACTGATGTTTTTAGTTACTTGCCTCGTTTGTTTGGTTGCTGTCTCTTTGATATTAACCCCACATTTTACTTTGATTCATAGCGAATAATAGACAACATTTGCATGCACTTCGTGCTTGCCTTCATGTGTAAGTAAATACCAGAATAAAGATCGCTTTAGACATATTAGATAAACCTTGGCAGTAGTTCAAGTAACATGGAAGATACACTACAAACCAGTAAAAGTCTGAAATGGCCTATATCTGTACTCGACTGTACTGATTTTTACTCGACCCGTCTTAATTGGTCTGAAATTTACTTAATAATACTCGACTGTAGTCTGAACCATACTTAACAGTCTGAACTTGTACTCGACCCTTACTCGACCAGTACTTAACCATTTTATACGTGTCTGAACCATGCTCGACCTAGTCTGAACCATACTCGACCTAGTCTGAACCATACTCGACCAAGTCTTAACCAACCTAGACCTATTTTTTGTATCTATCTATTGTATTTCATCAATTTAGGAACTGTTTTTAACAACAGCTATTTCCCCTGGCTAGAAATTTGAACAACAATTTGAAATTAAGAATGTATTCAATATAGCATTGAAACCAAAATTTCACAATAAACATGATATAACTTCACCATATTCATCAACACTTATGTACATACATATATATCACCTTTAAAATAAAAAAAAAACAAGCTGATCAAATAATCTCAAAACTGAATTGTGACTAATATTTTCAATGTTATTCAAAATTTTTTGAATGTTTCAGATATATTTTATGGTTACTGGACAATTTTCACCATTAACTTAAGCCTTGTATAGATTAATGGTGTCAGTTGAGTTTAGTTAATAATGCAGTGAACATTTTTTTTATTTAAGGAATGACTGTTATATTTTTTCTGTCTATGAAGAAATAACATCAAAAATGTGGTGCACACTGAATAACCCGCGTAGCGGGTTATTTTAAAGTGTGCACCACATTTGTTATGTTATTTCGAATAGACAGAAAAAATATGACAGTCATTTCTTATAATTTAATTCTAAATTCCATTTTAAACCGGAGTAAACCATGAAAAAACGTCGATGACGTCACGGTCACATGACAAAATTATGTCTATGAGCTGATAAACAAAACAACGTCAGCCAATCAGAAGACGCGTTACATCCAAAATTAAATTATTAAAATATATATAAAATAGCATATAAAGCAACTTAATAAATTTAAAAAATGACACCTTTGTTTTGTTAAACCAAGAATTTAATATAATCATGATAATAGAACTTCCATAGTAATCCTGTGATAAACTTTTAAAAAAGGAAATGTGTTCCAAACTTACAGTATAAATTTATTTCAATTAAATTTAAATATTTTTTGTCAAAATTAAAGACATGGCATACAAGAAGCACTTTAATAAGGTTTAATTACCTCAGTACATGTGTGTTTTACAGGTAAAAAGAAAGCCCTATTTTTCTTAAACTCGTGTATTACTTATCTAGTGAATTCAAAAGGCCTTGCGATTTAAGTTTCACAGGATGTTGCAATTTTGAATGAATGTTATTTAGAATTTAATACTCTCTAACCAGGTGTGATCTTTTTCATGAGTTTGCCCCAAGCAGGAGGTATTACTTTATACTTCACCACTAATCAGAAGAACAATTTTATTAATTTCTTTAATTTTTATCCCTTTTTGATATATATTGTATATGATATATCCCAAATTATAATAATAGATATATTTCTAAAATAAGATTAAACAATTTCAGTGATTTTGTTGGCTGTTGTTACTTCATTAAAAAGATAATTATATAACTATTGTACATTTTTTGTATGTAACCATGAAACCTATGTAGTTTTTATTTAGGAATTTAGGAAAATTAATTAAAAAAAAAAAACACATGCCAAAAAAGAAGCACCTAAAATATTTCAAGATCTTTCTCTTATATATTCACACAATTGTCAACAAATTATTTGTGACTTTTTGTCCTGTGACTTTGTCCTATCAAATTTGTGACTTTATGTCTTGTGACTTTTTGTCCTGTGACTTTCTGTCCGTTTACCAGGTTTAATTACCCTCAGTATAGGTGTGGTTTTTAGGTAAAAGAAAATCTTTTTTTAACAAAACTCTAAAAAAATTAATATAATTAAATTATTATATAAGATTATATCTGAGAATCATGTGAGAATGTAAAAATCTGTTTTTTATAATATATATCTTTATTTTATTGTGGCTGTTGTCATGTCAGTTAAAAAGAAATTTATTTTAACAGTTAAAATTTTGAAAAAGTAGAGGTTATTTGGTCCAGTGTGGTTCAGACTGGTCGAGTATTGTTCAGACCTTTGGTCGAGTATGGTTTAGACTGAAAAAAAATAGGTCGAGTACAGGTCGAGAAAGGGTTAAGACTGTTTCAGACTGGTCGAGTAATAGTTCAGACTATTTTCAATGGCAAAGATAAGGGTCAAGTACAAATCAGTACAGTCGAGTATGGTTAAGACTGGGGTCGAGTAATGTCGAGTAAAATTCAGACCAATTCAGACTGGTCGAGTAAAAATCAGTACAGTCGAGTACAGATATAGGCCATTTTAGACTTTTACTGGTTTGTAGTGATACCAATACCGTTAAAACTACACATATTTTATAAACCTAGAACATGTGATACATATATCTCTCTAATTAAACCTTTTGGGCTCATTGTATAAAAAAAAATAATCAAAGTGTGGTTGCCGATGATCTCAGATTATTGTCTGAGTTTAAATGTCAAAACCTTTGTCAGCTCAATCACTGGGGGAATCGAAATGTGCTTACAGGTGTTAAGGAAATTGACAACTTAGTGGAAGGCACTAGAAGGGTAATTATCAACAAGAGGCTGTCCGAGTGACAGCAAACCGGATTTCCTGCAGAGGTCGAACCCTGTACAGTTGAGCAAGTATGGATACTACATTAAAGCTTAAAACAGCTCATAATTTGAATTGTGATTGAATATTTGACACAGCATAAGTTTGTGACACAAAATGAATATGGTCAAAGAACTGAAAAATTTGAAATTGCACATTTACCTATTATATGATTATGGTCCAATATCCAAAATCTAAGTCCATTGTTAGAACCAGCATATCGAAGAACCCCAAGAATTCAATTTTTGATGAGATCAAATAAAAGTTTAATTTAGGTCCCTTTGGACCTCAATATAGACCAATTTGATAAAGGAGCCCACAATCCAAAATCTCTAAATACATGGTTAGATTCAGCATTTCAAAGAACCCCATAAATTCAAATTTGTTGAAATCAAACAAAGTTTAATTTTGGAGCTTATTTGGACGGGTGTTGTTAAACGGCGGAAACGGAAAACGGAACGGAAACGGAAAGAAATATTTATATGGACGGAATTTAAGGGGGAAAACGGAAAGAACTACAAAAATATCAATAACGACTGAAGTAACGAATTCACACAACAATTATGTTGACAATAGG